TATTTGATCCAGAATAAGAACTTAGTTCTTTTATTCTCGACTCAGTCCTGTAATAGAAAGGACAACAGGGTTAAATAAACTCAATATACAATTTTATTGTTTTCTTTTGGTATTTCATAAAAGAAATCCATATTGCTGAACCCCCACAGCTGATTTTGCGTTTGATTTTCGGATTTTTGCCTTTTTGTGTGACTTCAGCCCACAAGACTTATGATTCCTGCAAACGGATACAATTCTGTTAGATGAAATGTCCTTTAGAGGAATTCAATTCTATAAAATAGTAAAACTTTTAATTGGCAACAATAATTTTAAACCAACAGAAGTTTGTTTGGTGGATTTTGTCTGTTGGTGCCACTGATATATTTTCGCATCTACCCTTCTTGTGCATCATTTATTGATTAGTATAAGTTTTGTATAAGAATGAAAGTGTTCGGTTTTTTATGCACGCATTTTCCAGCTTGATCATTAAGCCCGTCCTGTTGAGCATTTTATGTTGCCGAAAAATTTATTCACTTTTCAATGTAGAACAAAGTTACAGTATAACAATTGGAAACATTATGTTAAAAAATGAAAATAAATTTAGTGATGATATTTTCGACGGAAAAGCAGGACCGTCAAAGGCTAGCCTTTTTGTAGCTCACAAGCTTCACTAAAAATATAAACCTCAAAAACATCCCAAATTTTTATTTTTAGTACTGTACTGTAATATCATAGTGACGTCAAAATGGAAAGTTTTTTCATGACGGATGACTCTGATGAATACAAGTGTGAAATCAAAGTTTTGGCGATTCCCGCATCTCAAAAAAAGGGAATTCTCTGGAAGACCGGAATCTGCAAATAAATTTTGGTCCTCGAAAATGGAGAACTCCAAGAATTCGACATCAAAAGTCCATTCAATCTTATATATTGTACAATCTCTGTACATGCACATGCAAATTTTTTTTGAACACATTTTCGCTCGAGCTGCGACAATGACGTGCATTCAAATTCCTCTTAGCCTTTTATGTCAACCTGTTATACAAGTTGAAAAGCGTCGGCAACTGAATTCAGGGAACCAGAAAATAATCGGTTGTTGAGAGAATTTTGTTATAGTGAACCCTATTTGTTATTTGTTATAGAGAGTATTGCATTGAAAGAATAGAGAATTTTTTCCCCCTACGCATGGGAAAAAAGCGTTTTACAGAGAAAATTGTTGTTGACAAAATCTATAGAAAAAGTCCTCCTGTATAAATCAATGATTTCTTTCATCAAGAATGATTTTTATAACATTTTTCTGCATTCACGAAAGCCACGGTATTTCTTTAAGATGTGGGATGTAATGTTCATAAAATAGGGCTTGGACTGTGTTAACCACAATTTTGATAACACGAGGTTCAAAAATTTAGAAGGACACAGGATCTCATCCACACGAAGTCTCCAGAAGATGATTCAAAAAAAAATCGTTAATCATTCTTAGTTTTTTTTCCTTCTTCTTTAGGATGTGCCGTTTCTTGACCTGCTCTGAACTTTGCGTGACTCGTACAAATTGTAAATGTTCTCACATGAGTATAATAAACACACACATACATGACGTAGTGGTCCTTGATGTTTTTTTTTTTTTTGTTCGTGAAAAACTGATGAATCCTCGGCACTTTAAGCGTTGCTTGAATCTGCTTATTTGAATGTGGATCGGCTCGGATCACATTTATCACCCGTGCTTGAGATGTCATTACACACACACACCTATTTCTAGCGTGTGGTATTTCGCGTGTGACCTCACAGGCTGCATGAATATTCATCGGATCGGGGAAGACTTGTTCATACCACTTGATGGATGGTCACAACTTTCGTCGGAATCAATGCATGATTACACCCTTGACCAAAAAGAAGAAAAAAAACGAATATTCACGCATCACGACTCAAGATATGCTGAGTGTTGATCATAAATGTATATTTTTCAAGCATGACAGCAAGTCTTAATCATCATGTCCTAGCTTATTGGGGTTAACAATGTTCAATGAGAAAAAAAACTTCAGTTAAAAGTGGTACAAAGGCTTATAACAGATACGGTGTATTGCTTTTGCGACAGTTTTTTTTAAATTCAGAGTTAAGTGGTCAGCGAAAAATTACCCACATGAAGAGAAAATTTAAGAACAATAAGACGGAAGTTCAAAGTTTTCATTCTATCCTGGGAGAAATTTACAAAAGTTCGTTTTTAACCAGCAGCTACAATTCTTCATGGATTTTTCAAATAGCGTCAGAAGACAAAACGAATGTCATTCAAATTATGTACTGAACCAGTGGAATCGCACTCTACAACAAAATTCTCTTTATACAACAAATAATTTTTGGTCCCTAAAACTATTACTGCACTCTGCAACAAAATTCAAGGGACCAAAAACTATTACCGCACTCTGCAACAAAATTCAAGGGACAAAAAACAAAATTCTCTTTACAACAAATATTTGTTATTGGTCCCTTGAATTTTGTTGCTTGTTGTAATCGCACTCTACAACAAAATTCAAGGGACCAACAAATATTTGTTGTAAAGATAATTTTTTTGCACAGAATGCCTATATGTCGCAGAAACGTATGGGAAAAAAAATATTAAATAGAAAAATTGTTGTAGACTAGATTGATGTAGAGAGAGTCCACCATTATAATTCCACCCTGCGGAAGCTGCCATTAAAAGCATTTGGCATTTATTGCACCGACTTGAAGGTTTTTCGAACTTGTATCAAGCTGGAAAAATAGGGTAAATTTAATGGTCTCTCCCAAGAGTATTAAACTGAAAAATTCTACAAAATTGCGCGATCCAAACTCAAGTAAAAGTCAATCTGATACTAATTGACCTGTATACTTGAGTTGAATCTTTCATGAAAACTTTCAAAAAGATATGCTTGACAGTTTAGACATAGAAAACCGATCTATGACAGTAAAAAAAAAAAATTGATGGAAATCCACGCGTGGAAGTACTACCCTAAATATCTGCAAATGCCTGCAGAAAATCAAGTCTTCAGATCAAAATCCTAATTCAGATCAAATGAAATACGGCATACAGTATAAATCTGGAATTTGTTGAGTCATGCCAATTCAAAAAATTACCAGAGGATTTATTACAGACATAGGGTATAGGCCCAACATGCATATTTAGAAAATTAATTTATTCTTCTCAGTTTTAGCCAAACAACTTGCAAAACATATTTGGGAAGCCCAGTAAATTTTACTAACCAGACTGATATGGCTAAAGCTGTGGAAGCCTTAAGCTTCAAATTTTATTTCTCACTCATAATTTGTATGCCTTGTTCTGAAAAATGAGAGGAAATTTATTTCAGGAAATATTTCAATATGTCATTCCGATTCGAAAATGCCCTGGGGATTTATTGCCCAAGGAAGCCGAATCTGTGACGCACAGCAGACCACAAGTAATGGCGTTCTCGTGCAGCTCTGGGCCCCTTCAGGACAAAGGCATTCTCTTGGGCACGACGGGCCAAGTAGGGCAAGACCTGGAGCAACTCCCCATAAGGCACCGACTTGTACACTGCTACTCCTTCCGACCCTAAGTATATAAAATACATCCGAGTGGATGATCAGAACTGCTCTGGCAGATTGATCAGAATGACGAGATCATTTCACGTCTAATTCAGCCATGCATTGCTGGAACAATCGACAATAAAATTCAGATTGTCGCGACGCAGCTCCAGCATCCAGTTGAAACCAGCCCAGAAAACCTGTTACATTTCCAAGGCCAGTGAGCCTGGCAAAAATCCCGTTTTTTGGGAGACTCACTGAGCCTCACTCAAGGACAAGAAGTGGTCATCACTTCTTCAATTTCATTGGAATCGGCCAATCCTGAGCCAGGAAGAAATCACCTAGGCAATGAGAATGAACTCCTCTGAAAAGAGTTTGAGTTCTTATTCAGAACTTGCATTCTGATGGCTGCACAATCCAATTCATTTTTCTGGGATCCAATGGACCCATGACATAGATGACCAGAAACTTTTCAAACCTGTTCACAGATTGCACCGCGCTTCCAACGCGTGGTACCTTGCAATTCAACCTCCAGGAATTTGATCATCCCGCAATTTGACAAGTCAAATTTTCAGGGAGTTTGAATTGAAATTTGACCCTTACCCAACAATTCAACCAGCTTTGGCCACTTTTTTTGCTTTTTTGTAGTGATATTTTTAAATTTCACAAATTCCCTTGCAATTCATCTGCTTTGCAATTTGACCCTAGTTGGCAACAGATTAGGGTCAATTTGCAAGGTATAAGTAAGAAAATGACATCAAGTCACCCTGAAATGTTCAAAATTAATCTTAGGGTCACTTATTATAACTGTGGAAAATTTGCCCTGACATCCAGCAGCCAATGTTTCTATGTACAGCCAATTTTCAAAATTTTCTAGAGAATGGAAAATATTTTATTTGTCAAAATTTTAATATTTCCGGAAAACATTGATCTATTTATGTACCCAAAAGTAAACAATGAATTTTTTACAAATTTACTAAAATGTAAAATGTAAAACAGGTTACTTTTGAGCTTCTTTTGTGGAGTTTTCTCCCTCACCCGTGAACAGTAAAGTAATATTTGTATTTTTCTTTTCTTTCTGGGGTCATTTTGATGCCAAAATATCATATTTGGAGTGGTTTTCTTTTGCGCAGTCATATTCTTCATCTTTCAGCTGAGAAGGACTTTTCATTCAATTTTTTGGAGACTTCCTATAATTCCTATAATTTCCTGAATCCTATAATTTTTATGAACTGGAAAAACCAATTAAATAAGTTCCCATTGAAGTCTATGGGAAAATGAGATCTGACATGCGGACATTCCAAAATACAGACAAGGTCCAATGCGTCAATTATGTCCACATCTCGGTGTCTCACTCTGGTAAACTGGAAAACAATTTGAGGCAAATATTTTCCTACAAGTTAAGTGCTTGAATGGTATAATTACAGCAGTAAAATCTTGTTAAAACTATAACCCCCAGCAGGGACCTGAGACAAATTTGGACTGCTTGATATGCTCCAAGACATTGCAAATTTTTGAAACCTTACTCAAAATATCCGTGGCGTAGTTTCCCATTCCGAACAACTGAGCAAAAACTACACGATCCTTCACGTTCCCTCGATAGTTTTGCAATAAATTCTTGGCTTTCAGGATGGAATCTTCATTGTGAGTCGCCACCACGATTGCACACTTTTCTCCCGCAGAAATCTTTAAGATAATTTCTTCAACAGCTCTAAAAAAAAAAAAAAAAAGATTGACGGCATTGATTAAGTGGGAAAAAGACTGAAGTGCCATCGGTTCGATTTGATAGCGTAATCCTTTAGCCATTACATACCTGTCATAATTAGCGTTGGTGTGCTGGTAACTGTCAGTCAACGGACACGGGATACCTGCTCCAAGTGCCACGGATTTCTCCTTTTCTAGATAAGCCCCTCTCACGATTTTAGCTCCGAAATGAAGTCCTTGTTTGAGTGCCCAATCACTGTGTGCTTCCAGGGCTGACAAGGCGTCCTGGAAATAATCACATTATTTCTGAACTTAATTGAGGGTTTTTTGGGATTGCCTACAACAGTGCTCCTCAACCTTCTTGGTCCTGGGGACCAACAAAGTTCCATAAAAATTTTGCACACCATAGGACATTTTTTAAATACCTGCTGTAAAGTCCTCAAAACAAAAATGTTATGGTAAACTTTAATTAAAAAACCCATGAAGCAGCTGTAGTGGAATAATGTAATCAAAAAATTAATAAGTTATAATTTTAAGATTGTAAGTTGCTTTCATGAATGAATGAACAGAACACTTTATTTACCGCTTTTCAGCATTCACAAGGTTCAATCAAAATTTCCACAACCAAACCCCCTTCCCACCCAACCCAAATCCACTCAAAGACATTCAATCACTTCAGAGCAGGAAACAGAGCACAAATTGCTAACAAAAATGAAAGAAAATACAATCCATGAAATACAACTGGACTTGTGACACGTATGCTTACACCCATCCATTCCCTGACATTGGAAACAATGTCAGCTTTCATGTCGCTTTCATGACTGACACAAAGTCTTTCTTGTAAAAACAATTGTAATCATTCCTCCTTGAAGGGCATATATGGTCAAGTATACTCACCTGAGCAAAACAAATTTAAAAGTGAAAATCCGAGAAACTAATGATATTTAACTACAGTTACCTAAGCCAACAAACTGTAATCTTAAAAAAAAATTTCAGAGAATCCGAACTGCCAAATGACAAACAATAGCTTGAAGAAGTAACTTTTCTTTATCAAATCCTTCAACATGCGCAAACTTTGATGGCTGAATATTTACAATACAATATACTTACTTCAGCATCTTATATATGCACCTTGTCCTCAAAATTTAGGGAAAATGAAGGGTTTCAAGTTGTAAGCGGATAAACATAAACAAATTTGAAGTTTAGGAGCACATCATACTTGATTCTAATGTGAAATTGGAGAACATTTTAAGCGAAACATTTGGAAAAGGAAACACTTGAATATTAAGTGAATGCAGGTTCAATTCGTGTTTAAATTCAAATTATGGTTTGTCTTCTTGTTTTAAATGTTGCACCTTTCAGTCACTAAAATGGGATGGATGCTCTATACTTGGGAATATAGTTTTTTAATAATTTTAGGCCCAAAAATCTCGGTGCAAAACAAACATAAGGGTGCCTGGTAAATACTTAATTTAAGTAAATACAGTACAGAAACATGTTACCTTTTATTGTCAGAAGTGAAAACATAGCATCAAATCACTCGGTTTTTAATTTTTTCAAACAAATTTTGACACATAGAGGCATATCCTGAATTTTTAAGTTAAAGATGCAACTAAGAATAGTGAGAAAATCGTGGGGAAATCGACGGATGTTTGTAGCCCATTAAAAGCTATATATAGAGCCTTGAAATAAAAATGAACCATCCATTTACTTTTTTAAAGAAGGAGAAACATGATGCAGTACGTACCTTTAAATAGCACTGGTAGGTGTGATGAACAACGGGTTGATCTTTGTTACAAACAGCCATGAATCCCAGAGTGACGGCAGACAATCCCGGGTTGAGCCAACTTCCTTCCGCGTCTACAACACACGTGACCTTGTTTTCCACGCAGCAATTCACTGAAAATAATGGGTTATTCAGATAGAAAAATTAGAAATAAACAAATAATGGAAATTTCCTTATCAATCCAGAACCCCCGACGAAACCATCACCAAGCTCCACCCAAATATCGCGTGGGAGTTAAACGTGCGCGGAGGTGATTTTCCCGTCAGGGGAGAGGCCCCCACTAATCAAGTTTCAATCTGCGCCTCGGGGACTTTTTCTCGGCTTTATTTTTTATTTTTTACATACTGTATATTGTTTTGTCTCTTGTTCAAACAGCCTTGAGTCAATAAATGGGAACAGGTTTAAGTGCCGGAAGTCTCGTTAGGATCTCACCGACTCGCTGCATTCTGCCGAGTCCGGAAGAAAAAGCCCGGGTTTCGGATTCCTCGAGACTCTCCCAGAAAGCTCCGAATTTCGTGGGAACATTTTTCGCTGGTTTTTGCAGAACTTCGGTGAAATTTGAGGCATTGGCGTTTGATCCCACGAACCGAGTTAGCTTTGCCTATAAATGTGGGGGAATATAGAGAAGAAAGTGAATTTAAATCTAGAAGATCGTCGATGTTGCGAAGAAATAACCCACGAGGATTTCAGAGGAGATCAGCCCGGAAACCTTGACCTGGCACATGGGGTTTTGCTTGGTTCCCATGACCGCGGATTTCGGGATAATGTCCAGATAAGTTTCGCAGTTGTTGTCCAAGATATCTTCTAACTTCCTGTATTTTGAATTTTTTAAACTACGGCTTTATCGTTCGAAAATGATACTTATTGTTGTAGTGATTATTGATCAACTACTGCATTTCCAGAATCGAAATTCGGAACATGATTCGATAAATAGTCGTACCTCGAAAGTTATGAGCCATGCTAGAAAATATTTCTTCCCAGCTATTCATTTAATTTACAGATATATTTTCTCAGATGTTCAAAATCCTCTCTCTCTCACAATATAATATATTAATTTTTAAACCATTTTTGGGATTGTCGGACAGTGATGAAATCATGTTAAATGAGTAAATAACTCCCCTGAAGTACCATGTACTGGTGGAGTACCACCTTGTGCCAGTCATTGCCATTATGGTGTCATGGCTTATTGCGACTATATGCCTGAGCCAAAGTAGAAAAATAAAAAAAAATATTTTGCCTTTATTGTCAAATTCACAAAGCCAATGGGTGTCTTGCCAAAAAAATAGGCTCTATATAAAGCGAGGCCAAACTCAGTCTTTTTGCACCTCAGTTCCCCCCAATAAAATACCTGCAATTTGCAGCCCGAAATTGGCAATTTTTTCAGCAGTTCTCTCCCTAGTACAAATGCTGTAGAAAAGCCATTATTTTTTTCAGTACTAACTTTGAAAATTTTATATTTACGCATGTGCCCTTGCATAAAATGCGTGTCTTTATTTTTGAACTGCAAAATTTTGTAAAAGCTCATATTTCCACAGAAAAGGCGGGCATTTCAGATTTCAGTGAAAGTGCTTAAATATAAATCAAGAATTAGTGCAGCTCAAGTTATCACTTTGTACTCAAGTAAAATAAGAATTTAACAGCCTTAAATTTGCTTATATTTTTATAAGTCTGTTTGATTCAAGGATGATGCACACGACAATTTGGAAATCATGTATATAACCACAGTACTGTATATATGAATGCTTAGAACTTTGTACCCGTTAAATCCGTTTTCCTCGGAAATACTGTTGTCAAGCATTTAATGTACTACCACTAGTATTTTTTACACCGACGGTTGAAAAGGATTGTCTGACTCTGCGAAACCTTATTTGATTATACTTTTGCATGGATCTACGATTTTCTCGTTTTTTTTTAAGGCCATGCTTGAATTATCAAGTCAAAAACTTTTAACGCAGCAGTTTTTCTCTGAATTAAGCTTTTATTTTCAAATGGAAGCGAGACTTGAGGAAATAATTAGCATTAGCTTATTTGTGAGAGGAATAACCCATTTTGGAGCAGTCCTTATATTTTTCTTTGGGGAACTGGGGTGTATTATTAGAAAATATTGAGAGCCATTTTACACGTCGTTTTCGCTGTCATCCACGTCACTTTCCAGCATAACAGCAAGCATGAGTCTCACGTTGGATTCGTTGAGTCTTGAAACAGTGGCCTCGAGTTCTTCCGGGGTTTCTCCTCCAACGAATTGATCGTAAAATGTTGGTCTAATTGCCAAAGTGAAGAGTTTGTTGCCAAAGATTCCTCGAGTTGTTTTCATTATCTGAAATATGAAAATATGGTTTGTCGTTGAATAAGACACGTTTGGAATAATACCTATCCCCGAAACTCTGAGAGGAACCGAGTGGAAAATAAACTTGAAATATCGCAACACATGTTCTGAAATTTGCTACAACGGGAAAAGGAGCTTAAATTTATTTTTCGGAATAAAATTTGGAGTTCAACCTTTTTATAGCGGTTATATCCGGTCATTTGCCTGGGCTTCTTTCTAAAAAATTATCAGGCGTCAGCACAGCATCCAATTCAAGATTTAAAACCAAATTACCCAAAGCTGCAATAATTGTTTTCAATATACAGTAGTTATCTGACCTCTGAAAAGATACTAACGGCATTTCCGAAAATCTTCGGTTGCAACACATTTCTCCGATGAAAACATGAACTTCAAAAAAATCCTGGATGTGTAATTTCCTGTAATTCTTATTAGAACCGTATGTTCGCATTCTTGGTACGTTCTCGTAGTTTTCCGAACTAAAAAAAAAAGTTGTTCTTCAAAAATGATTAATGAATTACTTTAAAAAATGTGTAAAACAGAATATATCGCAGGCAAACGACCAAAGACGCGGAAAATTACGTCAATAATTGTTGAGAACAGCTGTTGAATTCCATAAAATGGCATAGCAACCAAATTTATTAGAGCTGATGTACTCAAATGTTTTAAATGGGGGGGGGGGGGGTCGGTTCGTGTATATATACGTATTTTATCATCAAAAGTCGAGTCCACCATACAAAGAAAAAATCTTGGATGGTCCATATGTCCGTTGTGCGAAAATATACGTTAAACGAAGTTGTCGCATCAACCAAAGTTTCACGGGTCATATATTTTGGTCAACCTGAGGCAAATCTAGGTGCTGGAATTGAAGTAATTTCGAAAATTTTGTTTTCTTTCATGGACTTGGAAATCGATCGCCATTTATTCTATAAGTAACAGGTATAGTATGGTTGATTAAAAACCAGATGACCGCATTTTCAGTGTGTCTATAAAGAAAGTTGAACTAAATTTTATTAAAATTTTCAGAAATTTTCAGACCTCGAGGAACGATTTGCTCAAAGTTTGATAAGAATTCCAGTTTCGCGGGACTTACAAATTGGATTTGGATACTGCTACATATCTAAGCGTTTCAATTCAACCTTCTGGAGGCAAATCTAGCAATTTTACCTTTACTAAAGTTTAACTTAACTTTCTGAATATTTTCACGTTTTTAGAATTCAATCTCCTGCGGATCTAGCTGGAGTTTGAGATTTTCTGGGATATACAATTTGACCTGAAGCAAGAGCTTGAAAATCAGGTCTTGAATGCGACCATCATCAAACAGTTTCAGGCTTCAAATAATTTCAATTAGCCCTTCTTCAAAAAGGGATACCTTTCGAGACTACTCAAAAAGCCCCGTCTTCTCTGAAATTCAGCAGTACACGGTTTTATAAAATTTTTTTTATTTGACCTTCTACGAAACCATGAGTTTGGAAACCATTTCTTTGAATTCAACGATCTGTACGTGTCCAGCTGTTTAAAGGTTTTCTGGAAATTTTTTTTTAATTTGACCTTTAATTCGGAGAATAATCTATAATAACGGACAAAGATACGACCTTTTCCGCGTTTGCAGTGAGCTTGTCGCTGGAGCAGAGCTTCAACACGCCCCAACCCCGGATCAGCTCCCACGCAGACATGTGACGAGTTGACGCGCGGGAATCGACGACGCTGTCGCTGACGTGTGTCGCAGCAAACATGACGTCATGGCGAAAACAGAGCGGACTCTTATTGCGACTGTTTTTCCCGAAGACGCTAACGCACCATTGTCGACCGATGACACGATGGTTCGTCGCAGGTGACGACATAATCCTTGTGCTCAGCATCCTACACTGACTCATTAATTGCAACTCGGTCTTGTATTTAAAAAATAAAATAGAATAAAAATAAAAGAGGTTGAGGGCCCTTTCTCATTTTCGTTTGTTTCATTTTTGTACACTTGAAAGTGCGAAGCATTAATTACAGAGGGGCATACACACGAAGCAAAGATTACTTAGCGCTGATGAAGTGAGATCTGGTGTTGAAAATTAAATAAATAAATAAATAAAAGAGGTTGAGAACAATCAAGTCTATTTCTTCATTTTTGTATACGCATTGAAAGGCGAAGCATTATTTAAAGAGATATGCCCGAGAAGGCTATGGATTATTCAGCGCTGAAGTGAGATCTTGTGCTGAAAAATAAAGAAATAAAAGAGGTTGACAACAATAAAGTCTATTTTTCAGTCTTTTTTAACATATAAATAAGGATGAAGCCATTCTAGTCAATGACAACTTGAGGCTCGAAGAAAGCTAATTTGAAGCCGTAAGTTTCGTCAGTGTATTTGGTTATTCTGCTTCAGTTCTTTCGAATAAAAATCTATTTCTGATTAATTTTTTTACAGAAAGAAAAAGGAAGCTTCGAGACTGAGTCTTGAACTGATAAGTCACTCGCCGTGAGACTAAAAATACAGAGGAGGAGGCGAAATCGCTTAATTAATTGCAGATTTATGCAAAAAAAAATTATAATTTAGCGCTGACGAAAGAAACGAGACTTCAATACGATTTCTGGAATTCAACATTCTTTCTTTACCATACCTTATGTCGTCTATTTAATTTAGAATTCTAGACATTGCGGATAACTCTCGCAAATGTATTTTGTTGCTACAGAAATTTGAACTTATCCTTTTTACATAGTAAGAATTTTCAGCATTGAAGCAATTTACGCAAGCATGATTGCACATATAGATTTCAAAATCACTGACGCCTCTTTTTTTTCGTACGCTCACAGATTTTCCTCTCAAATGAACTTGAAAAATGAAAATCAGTCGTATTTTCCAACAAAGAAAGTTTCGGCTGCAGGTGGTCAAAATTCACTGTACGGATCCGCCTGGGTTCGTTAAAAATTTTCTGCGAAAAATGGAAAAACTAGATGTTTGCTGCTTGAACGAATGCGAAAATTTCAAAGCACGAAAAAGGGTTCTATTTCAAGAAAAATCGGGAAAATGTGAGAAAAACAAACGTTTGGTGCACAACTTATTCACATTCGAAAATAAGTACACTTCACTCTCAAGTGTTCCACATCATGGACGATCCAAGAAATCGTATTCGATTCGTCGCGAAACCAACTGCTGGTTTAATAAAGAAACGATCCCGCACGTAAAGAGTCGGGAAAAAAATTTGAATCTTTCGCATATTCATCAGCATCATTTGTTATTCAAGTCATGAACATAAGCCATATACAGCAGTAAAAGTGATTCGATGATTCAAAGTTATCGCGATATTCGCTCGTTTTCCTCAACTGGATCGAGGGACACAGATACTCGAACCTGATGGAATAAACACGGAAATAACTTCAATCATTTACACATTTTTCATAAAAATCTATTACTCCTTGTCCGGCGTAAAACAAAATTCGGGAAGGTGAAACGGATGCTGTAGAATATATTCAAGCCCCTCAGAACATGAAAAATAATTTTAATTAATCATCAAATTTTACTTAAAAATGGTTCAACTTAGCGGATAAATAAGTAGAAACCAGGGCATTACAAATTATGTTTCTTCCAGAATCGCGGTACTTGGAAAAACAAAGCTGCCTATATATACGGAGTTTCCGAAGAAAAATTGGCAGCGTTCTCTTTACAAATAAATTTTCAATTTTTAAAATAAGAAAGAAAAAGATTACATCCTGAAAGAACCACAGCGAAACATTATTGTCTTCCCTGTATGGCTAAGGTTATTGCTGGTGAAATACTTGTACCCTAATAAAACGGACATCTAAAGCCAGAAAATCCCCTCGCTTTTTCCTATATAAGGCGATCCTAACTTCTTGGGATAACGACTTTTCCCATACTGTCCCAAAATCCGTAAAAAAAATTAGTGATTATAATCATAAACTTTGTAAAATACTCCAAGTTTTATTGATCAAAAACACGCGAACGAGCGTTTATATTTCACTAATCCCCCGTGCCGACGAAATCTTGAATATTTTCCGAAAGCTCCGCCAAAAGCTCAGCAAATCCAGCGAGAATATCGCCAATTTGAGCCGGGGTAGGAAATTCAACGTCTCTCTCGCAGTATAAATATTTGATGAATTGTTCCAGTGATGAGCCATTGATTCGTTTCCCACTGCCGATGCCAGAATTCAATATGAAGCATAAAATTTCCAGCAGAACGTCGGGTGGAATTGATTGTAAACTCCAAGTGTTTTCCTCAATAAGTTGAGGCTTATTCTGGTTTTCAATAAGTGGAAGATTATTCCTCGACAAAGTCGGCCTCAAGCCAGAAGGAATTTTCAACTCCGGTAAAACCACAGGGACCATTGGAATCTGCGAAGGCAGAAAAAAGGCAGATTATTTTAAGTTTTATGAAAGGTAAACAATAAAATATAAAAAGACCAAATAAATGAATCAGTTATTGTATATCGAGAGAAATTCGAATAAGAAGACATGATGCTGCATCTGACAACATCATGAAGCTCGCATTTTTAAATTTACCTAGCGCTTGGTTAAAAAAGAAAATTACACTTGCGAAAATTATTAAAAGGAACCTCATTACTGTGCATCAATTCTTTACGTCGTAACCAGAAAGTTGCGGGAAAATTTAAAAATCCGCAATTGCCCTAAAGTCTGTGTTGAATATTTTCTTCGCCTAATGTGAGCCTTTCACAATCGTTCGTAAACTGGGACAAAATTTGAACAAACCCCTCTTACAATAAAGCATACTGTATTCACTTATGAGTTTTTTTAAGCGTGTGCTTGGCACTAAAATTGAAACTTTAAAATCGGAAATCATTACAAAAATAAATGAGTGAAATTCACATCAACGGAAATTTTTCGGCGTGATGATAGATTGTAACGTTCAAGAGAATGCCGCTGCTAAAAAAAATAATAACTGCTTGCTTATTTATACTGTTTGTGGTCTACCGTGTATTTAAAGAGAATACCGTATACCTCTTCCATTGTCCCATTGGAGAAGAGTTGAACAGTTTCGTAATTCATTGGAACGACTGCTGAGCCTTCGTCCTTTGTCAAGGAACTTTCGGTTGTTTCCTTAATGATCAAATCATTAATTTTATTGATCACTTCTTCAGGCAAAACTTCGTTTGAGCTGGATGTTGGCCGAGTCTGATCTTCGTCGACGTCGGCGGGATTTGATTCGGACACAGATTCCTCTTGGTGTGACTATAAAATGGATGCATAAGTTTTGATTAGAAAATAGTCAATTACAACAGTCAACCCTTGATTCAGGGCCCCCAATTTTGTCCCAACCCTGCATATGGCGCAACAAATTTCCTTAGAATAAATCTCCCTCCATTGTGCTCATAAGGAAAACCTCAATTTAGTGCCAACTCACTTATTGCCACACAATCATTTATGTCCTGAATGAAAAAAGGTAAAAATTAGAGAAATTAAGGCAAATGTGTATATATCTAGGGATATCATACATTATTACTGAAAAGCACATACCCATTATCAGGATAATCTATGAAAATTATATTTCTGACTTCACATGTAAGGTGGTTGAATTGGAATGTACTCTGCAGCAAAGAGCATTGCAATCAGTGGGATAGTCTCTCAAAAAATTTTTTAAAAATGACTCCATACCTGACCTGGGAATATGGTGTGCTTCATTGAAAGGTTGGTACAAAACTGCAAGAAACAGTTCCACTCATCTACTTGACCCAATTTGTGCAAAAATGTAATAATTTCTGCATTATAGCATAAATACTAGTATAACTGTATTATAAAGGAAAAAAAGTTCATTTGAGACTCATAATTATTATGTGTTGCTTTCTTCAAAAAATCCAATTCCCCAGCAATGCTGAAAAAAAGTCTGTTCCAGCTTTTCTTTCAATAAAATATTCACAATTTAGTGCAACCTTTGTTTATAATGCCACTTAACCCTTGGGCGACAAAGTCAGACTTTTTCTGCAAAATTTGGTGTCAGTAAGAGAAGCTTTAAAAAAAAATCCTAACAGTGCATCCAGGGCAAAGTTGGGAAAAATCCTGGTGTATTTTTTAAATACTGCAGAAAAATTTTGCCCAAAAATGAAAAAAAGCCACATCCAAGGCTGAGCTTTTTTTCATCTCATCCCTGGATTAGGTTTATTGTTTTCAGCATCTTTGCCATTTCATTTTGGGCACCAGAAGAAGGGTTCCCATTTAGAGGCCACAAAAGGTTAGCAGAAAAAGTCCGACTTTGGGAAATCCCAACAACACATTTTTGCCGGACTAAGTCCAACTTTGCCCTAGGCCACCTGGCTTGGCTGTCATGGCCTTCAATAAAATTTAAACGTGGGCCCACCCGAGAAAATCCGTACTTTGTCCCGCAATGGGAAAGAACCTGTTGCCGTGGAAGGGTTAAAAGGTGCAGGTGAAATTTGTCGCAGTTGAACTTGCCGCACTTCAACTTGCCGCACCCAAACTTGCTGCTGCTGCAACTGACCGCAGCCTGAAGTGACTGTAGTCACAATTTGCCGCTGCAACAAGTCTCCATAATCATTTCTCACCTCAGTCACAACTTGCAGTAGTTATAAGTTGCCACTCTTTCAACATGCTGTACTTGAAGATCAATTCAGACAGTTCTAGAACTTTTTAAAACTTAATTCACAGCAGAACATGTTTACAATTGAAAAAATGTACAATACAATATGGAAAAAACCTTACCATCAAAAATAATAATTATAGTAGATTAAAAAATTAATCTAAAAACCCACGTTTTCAAAAAGCAAAAAATAACCTTAAACGTGGTGCCCATCTATTTCATTTGTATTTCACTTCTTCCCAACAATCTCCATGCGCACCACGTTTAAGGTTATTTTTTGCTTTTTGAAAATGTGGTTTTTCAGATTAATTTTTTAATCTACTATAATTATTNTATTCACAAGTAAATTTCATAATGATTTTATTATAAATTTATTCAAATTTATAATCAATAACAGGTATCTTTGAGCTTCTTTCTTGTGGTATTCTCCATAATTTTTGCACAGTATAGCAAAATTCGTATTTTTTGCTTTGTTTTTTTGCTGGGGTCCTTTTGATGCCAGTAGGTGTGCAGACAGACAAGAAAAGTGAGTTCATAAAAACGTGGTAAAATGCACAGCATTTAGCCACCAATAGTACTAGTTCAGGATGAAGAAATTCATTGAAACCCACTCTATAAATTCTAAAAATTTTCACACAGCAGAATGCCCAGTTAAAAAGTGGAAGAATGTGGGAATTCCTTTTTTCCTAAAATTTTAGTCAATGCAATGGCAAGTGGCTGCACTTCATTTTGAAAATTGTGATAGCAGCAAGTCATTACAGTGGTGAGTTGTTGCAGTGGCAACTTCCACCTGCGGTGATTTATCACAGCGGCAAGTTAACACATCAGCAGGTTGTGACAGCGGCAAGTTAACACTGAGGCAAGTTGTGACAGCAGCAAGTTCAACTGCTTGCAGCAGGTTGGGTGTGCGGCAAGTTAGAAAGTGGCAAGTTTCACCAACATGCACTTAAAATTTGCCAGAACAAAGGAGTACACTTAATTGGGGTTTGCATTTACATTTTAATCAAATTTGATTCATATAGGTAGGTATTGTAGGACATAAGATACCTGTAAATTTTCTTCTTGGTTATCATGTTGCAGGATCAAGTCAGGTTCCTGATGGTCATCATCATCACAGCTTTTAGTCAGCATCACATACAATGGATTCGACACTGGAGCAAGGAATCGAAGCTTGCCATCAATCGCATCCATTACATGAACTATTTGTTTCCTAATGCATGTCAGGATGGTGTTATTGTGAACCTGGGCGTGGTTGGAAAACAAGTCTTGGAGTTTGTTGAGCACATTCAGAACCTCCACAAGGTCATCTGTTTCCAGGTCATCATAATCAGCTTCATGTTTGACCTCGTTCTTTTGGATTAGTTGCAATCGCCGTTGAAATGAGGTCTGAACAAGGTTGTTCAATTGGTCACAGATCGTGTTGGCTTCCTTGTGGGCCTGATTTTTGTAACCCATTATTGTTGGTATCATCAGGGAAGAAACCAGCGGAATAAAATAAGTACAGTATCTGCAAATTATTCGAATTCATCTTTTCTTTGGTTATCTGTGCAAATATTTTGACTGACCTACTCTTGAATAACCTATACTCTTGATCAAATGTTCAGACGATGCTCCCTAATTCAAAAAACTCTGAATACAATCTAATTCATGTTCCTTTGAATTAAATTGAGAGAGGCTCAAATAAATGTCCAGTGATCCAGTTTTATAATCACATTCACTTTTTCAAGTTTGTTTATGTGAGAACATTTGGTATTTTTCTTCAAGATATTGATTATGACTGACTCCATGCTTTTCTGATAACAGAAGAGAAGTTTGACATTTTTGACATGAACATACATAGATGATACCAGCTTTCCAATTTCCATGCAGTTTGTTGGTTTTTTATTTCTTTGAACATACTTGGAAAGATTATCTACACAGTATACATATATATATAATGTAGTATTCCAGAAATCAAACTATATAAAAGGAACCTCAGAATGAACAGAACCATCCACTATGAAGAATGCAGTCCAAATAATTTCAGGTATTAATTCAAGAATGAGAAATTTTTCTACAATATTGGTGATAAAACAATGATTAAATCTTGAAATGCTTCAAGCATACCTCTGATGTCAAGTCCTCCAGATTGAATATCTGATCATCAATGATTTTTGCTTCTGGGTACATTCCATCAGAACTATTCTCTGTATAGGCAGTCTTCTGTATTCCTTCAGTGAGGCTACAAATCCTTTTCTTCAGTTCACTCAATAGCTTATCTCCTGGCAAAGATATTTTTAGCTTCATCAGGGTCAGCATGCATTCTTGCAATTCAGCAGCCTGTAAAAAAAAAACATTTTTGTTCCTGAATGCATTCAAATGGAAACTTGAAAAAATAAAATAAGTATAAGTATCACCCTTCATAAAAGACAGTAAGCAAGGCCAGCAAAGGAAACTGTTGCACCAAGGGAAAGTTACTTCCCTGGGTTCAGCTCTTGGCTGCTATTCCACTTCGTTCTTAAAATTCTGCAAAAATTTCATTTTACTTGTCTTATGAACACTTCACGCAAAAACATGCATACGGGGTATTTCTCCAAGATTGGGAAAACCTTCATTTTTCCCTCACAATATTTTAAAGATGACTATAGTGAAATTTGGATTTTGTGAAGAATTAAAATGCGCCGATTATTAAGGATTTTCTAAATAATTCCTGCCATCCCCATTTTATTGGTGAAACAGTCTGTCAATTCCGCTGAACTTGAAAAAAAATAATAAAAATTGGACACTTACCAATTCATTGCGTATTATCTTTTCAATTAAGCCATGCATTGATATAGATAATACTTGATATTTTCAACCATGTGTCTAAAACAGTGTGTAAATATTTTCAGACAAAGAGTTACCCTAACTTCATCCAGTGATGTTTCTTCGATCGAACCGTGAATGTTCTGAAATTTTCGTGTCAATGGGTTGAAAGGATATTTTTCGTAATAAAATGCAAACAGCAAAACATGATTCTCAGCAGTGCTTGAGTTTTGTCACACGAGAGGCTACACGTTTCCACGCAGAATTGAAATGATCGGAACACCAAGGGATTTTTTTACAAAATTTTTCGATCCTACCTTTATTCTCAATGCAATCACGACCAATTTGCACACATTCCTCAGCCCTTTTGATCAACGTTTTGAAACAAGCCTTGAAATGTTCAGTTGTTAAATTTTCAAGCTCCTACTTCAGCACACCAGCAATAACCAGCTGATCCGCGCGGAACCGTGTAACCCATTCGTATTCAGTTCTGGACTTAATTAAGGTTACAAAGGTTCGGGCTCAAAAGGGTGCTACATCCACCAGATTTTTTATAGGCCACCCAACAACTTCGAATGCATCACCACAAAAAGTGCGGATATTTTATACCTGAAATAATTTCCTGCTGCTGTGCAACAATGGCAGGACCTCGTCGCTGATGAGCGTGAATTCACCGAGTGACACGAGTTCTTCGTAATGACGTTTCTTTTGCTCTCCGCGTTCCTGCAATCGTTTGGCAACTTCCGCGTCGGGAACAGGCCGGTCAAGCTTATTGGCGCTCAAGCAGGGCTCTTCCAGCTGCGGTAAAACTTCGCTCATGGCGAGAAAAGAGGCTTATGAAGGGATTTACGAGCAGATGCTGGAAGGCTGTATACAAGAATGAAAATTTTCAACGACGAGCGAACATAAATCGAAATTTACTCGACTTCTTTCACCATGCTTATATGTATTTTTTTTTTCAAGTTAATTTTCTTTCAATTTGATGCACTTTTATGGGTGCTGGGATCTGATTGACCAGCACTGAAACGCGGGACTTTCATGCGGCTATACGAGTTCCTATTATTACAAAGCTTACAAAAAATGAATCGTAGAATAATTTGCTGGTGGTGCTAGATACTTTTTTTTTTTGCTGGGAAAATTACGCAGCTACAGTACTTTCATTTATTTATTGTCAAAAGGAATTATTAAAATAGCAATATTATGCGCCGGAGTCAAATTTTAACGGATTTCTTTTGGGAGTTTTACTTCGTTTGATACGAAATCGAAAATAAAATAGAGAGGGTCGCACATTTTTGCAGGCATTTTTACTGATGATGTACATTAAACATCTCCATGCAACGCATATGATGTAATCTCTCGCTCAATAGCCGAATTCAAATATGATATCACAATTTTTGAGCGGATCATCAACCATAATTTATTTGCCACCCATTGTCGAAGTTTCTTCATATAATAAAATTTTAGATTGCCTCCGTCTGCATATTGAATAGTGGGAATGCAACTTTTTTACTCATTTATAATAAGATTATGCCAATGTGAAAGTTCATCTTCGAGCTTATTTTTTCAACCTTAAATTATTTCTGGTCCGCCGTATGTACAGTAATTAAAACGCGCTTCCGAGATGCAAATGAAGAGTAATATATGGTACTTAAACCTTGTCCCTATGTCAGAACGTCCGTATGTGTTGGTTCGCTGAGGTACATTTTCCCTTCCTGGTTCCTAAACATATTGTATATGACTGAGCAATACTGTACTGGGTTGCCCCATAACTAAATAATTACCCATCAACCTACCATACTTTATACAGTAATGTACCCTACCTTGAATCCACTGTACCTTAAAAAATTAGCCTACTCATAAAACTGCTCCAATCCCACAAAAAAACGTATTTACCCATCAAACTACCCTATCTGGGGATTTAAAAATTCATCTGATTAAAGCTGGAAACAAAATTTTTGAAAGCTTCAACTTTAGCTCATCATAACTTCTCAACTATTCAAGCAATTTCAATTTTGAAAGCTGCATTGGATGCATCATCCAGGGAACATCTACCTGATGCCGCAATTATAGACTAGTCGCTCACGTTGAGTTTGCGCTTTAACAGATGTCGCGTGTCTGGTGGAATCAAGCATAATCGTCAGTTGCCCGAAAGCCTGTCGTACTGAGGCTTGATTATGCTCAAGTGGATTGTATCGGTTCCCGAAATCCCGTGGTAGCGGATTGTAGGAACATACTGTATTCGCAGCGTATCATCGATACTGTGAATTTTTTAACTGCAGGTGATGACGTAGTGTATTGTGAAATTCTATCCGAGTTTGAAGTTCGACGTCGTGAAGCACCAAGTTTAGTGCGATGCGCATTCAATTTATTTACGAGCATAATTTCAGTGCAAGTAAGACAAAAGTAAAATTTGGGCAAGCAAGCCATGTGGAAAATGAAAATGTTGCCGCAGATGCTCAAATCATCCGTCTGATGCTAAGTAGGTCCGGATAGCTGCTCATAGTTTTCTACTAAGGCATGTTTAACATTGTGGTCATAGCGACTTCATGGAGCCCTCTGGTACGAAATTCGCTTACACTGTACCAGTGTTGAAACTATTCTGATGGCCACGCACCGATGTGCTATGAGCATCATTTTCATGAGCAGTAGGAATTCTTTCACGAGTGCAGGCCTGCGTGGAAATCTTTCTTCTTGTGCTCACATCTTGGAAGTGTTAGGGGCATCTTGTACACGAGAGGTGACCCACCGAAAAATCCATGCGCGCCGCCATGACTTTTGACACTCTCGCCATCTATGAACAGAACATTGAACAATGAATCTCTCCAGCAACACTGGCCAGACTCACATATACAGTTCTGTACTCCTCTGCGCTATGACACAAGTTCACAATCACCATGAAACTTCAGGCCTCCTGCTGGTATATAAACCTAATCTCCCTGCTATAGTAGAAACCTAATACCCCTTCTTGTAGAAACTTCAAATATCCCTTATCTCGTAGGAACTTCAGATCCCTGCTTGTAGAAACTTCAAATATCCCTTCTTGTAGAAACTTCCAATATCTCTTCTTGTAGAAACTTCTAGTCTCTCTTATAGTGGAAACTTCACATATCTCATCTAGTAGTCTCTCTTGGTAACTTCTGGCCAGCTATGCATAGAACATTCCTCTGCATTATGACACAAGTTCACAATCACAACAAATTCCTTGGCATTCTGCTGAAACTGACTTTGGAGGCGGTTAGGTAAAGTTAGGTTAGGTTAGTTTATGATGGTTAAAAATATCTTTTAACTATCATAAACTAACCTAACCTAACTTTACCTAACCGCCTCCAAAGTCAGTTTCAGCAGAATCCCACAGAAAAGATAAACTGACTTTGGGGGGCGGTTAGGTAAAGTTAGGTTAGGTTAGTTTATGTTGGTTAAAAACATCTTTTAACTATCATAAACTAACNATTATATTACTCATGAACGCGGGGGGAACATCAGTGGTTGAATTGTTTTGGCTACATTATCATACTACAGTATATGTGGTGGTTTGACGGAAACATTCAGAAGAAAATTCTTCAGCATTATACACATGCTACGCGTATACGTCGCCGCTATGATGGTTTCGCCGCTTGACTGGAATCATATCTGTTCTGACGAATGTGGTTTACGGCTAATCTTATAAAATATTGATAAAGTGATCAACCGTATCATTATGTTTTTGATGATGGACATTCATCGCGGGAAATCAGATTTCATCGCGAATATTCTTGTGCCGCTCTGGCTTCTTCATCCAGATAGTTGATTGAACTTTATCCATGCGAAGATTGAGTTGAACTGGGTTTGTGTACGGTGTATATATAGTTCTGGACCAATTCTAAAGAATAATTTATAGGGTGAGTGTTCATTCGTCACTTATTCGCTTCGGAGGGCGGTAAACGAGCTGATTTTGGATAAACGATAATATGAATCACCGTTTCACTGTACTACGATAAGATTTTTAGCTGATCATAGAATTTGACGAGAAACTGCATCAGGAAAAAGATCGAGGTTCATCTAAATTTTCACGCAGTAATTTGCAGTAATTCGCGCTACGGTATTTGATGAAGTTCACGTACTCGATCACAAGTTCATACTGAAGGTTGACATAAATTCGCATTTGACCTCGACATTGGTTCGTTGAAAAGGATGTTCACCAAGGGATTCGATCGCAGCGGAAACCTTACCTGACAACCAATCTTATTCTAGTCGACGAGCGTTTCATGCGAAACGGGGGCCTTTTGAATCTCGGTGTTCAGTGCTCAAGAAAAAGTTCCGTTTCGCTATCTGCGGCGTATTGGGGTCTGGAAAATAGAAGTCGTCGGAGAAATGGATTATTTGACGCGGAGTTATCAATGGTTACCTGAAAGTGTTTCGAGCGTTTTTTGTTCCGTTTTTATGCGTGTGTGAGTGAAGTGAGACGACGTTTTCGGTTGCATTTTTCCGGGGATATTTAGCGAACACGTTGAACACATTTTCTTTTCATTTTTGACATATAAATGTCGTTCGGGCCTGCGGATTCTCGGTACCGTTTTATATAGAACTGCTGGTTCATGAAAAGCATCGGCCAAAACTTTTGTGGTTCTTTGAGAGACACGCTTTCTGCAACAACAAAAAGTATGTATAGGCATTGTTTTAGAAAAAAATACCCATGGGTTCTTTTCTTCAATTTTTCTTTTATTTTTTCTGGGTCACTTTGAGGGGATGCTCTGTGATGCGACTTTCGATCCTTCGAAAACAATTTTCTAGATTTCAAACAAAACGGTTAATCCCTTTCAGATGAAAGAAAGAGAGGAAGAGAGAGAAAGTTTGATCAAGTATGGTTACCCGGAGTTTTTCTTTTTTCAAAAATGGAGAAAAAAACCTCGCGCAAAAATCCCGCGCGATTGTTGGCGAAGGAAAAGGACACAGAACATTCAAGCTGTTTTCAATCTTCTCTTTAAATCGTATACCACGTGGCTTTCAAGCAATTTTTGCCAGTTGCGGATTTCACCGGGGCTTTTTAGTGGAAACATATGGAATGCAAAGAATTCAAAAAAAGAAAAATCCCCGTTTTTTGGCATTGCCTTTTTTCTCATTTCGGGAAGTTGGGTCAAGGGTTACCCTTTTTTGTTGTTGACCGGGGTGGGATTTTATTCTTAGACACGAACTTCTCTTCTCGTTTTTGCGAGAGACGAATTCGGGAAGGACGGAATAAAATGTTGCGGAACTTTCTGGCCTCAAATCAGCAAGTTTTTCTTCTAATATAATTTTTTTATGACCGGTACTGTATATTTAATTTTTTACACAGATCCGAAGGAAAAGTTTTCCGTCATGGAACTCAGCCACCCCCATTCAGATGCTTCTCATTCTTTTCGCAAAGCCTTTTCAGTAAGTACTGTGTAAACTTGCAAGGGAAAGAGTCGTAGTCCCACAAGAGATAGCTCATCCGTAGCCAGAAAGGGAGAGAAGCAATCTTCTTGATGGGATGGTGTTCACGGAGAGCATCCAGATGGGATATCTGGATGCTGGCTGATCAAAATCAAAAGCAAACCCACTGCGATATGAGTGATTTATTCCAGGTTACTTGTGCCACAAGATGGCCAGTTTTAAAAACGTCAAATTGAAACGGAGTCCCTCGTTTTGTAGATAGTCCCAGCAAATAATCAGGCGTTTTCTAGGCAAGCATAACAAGTAGGCTTATATTGCACCACCCATAGGTAATGCCTGGTTGGCTGGGTACATGTGAATTTTTTTTATGGGTGATTCAAAGCCTGCAGTACCCATAGGACACCCGTAAAGTACATGTGTGTGTACAGTATATGGGTGTTTTTCAGCAAGATTGAGAAGCAGGAAAATAATTTTCAAATGCATCAAATGGAAAAGGCACCAGAACCAGGAGTATTATATCACCTGCATGTAGCATACATGAAACATATCAGTGTGCATAGCATGT